TGGTTCACAGAGCCTTTGGTCTTGGGAACCTTTAGCTTTGCTCACAGGAATACTCGTGAGGCATTAATAAGTGGAACTTAACCTTCAAGTGGGCGAATAGTACTTTTACTGTCCCACTACAGCTAAATTGAACGGAAGTATTAGCAGCGTTAAGTGTTCTACGGTATTGTTATAAATAACTATTTGGGGAGTGGAGAACTCGCGAGAGAATATTCATATTCCTTAACTTGATTACCTAAGTTTAGGTAGTACATCACAAATTTGGAGAAGCATTATGTAAACTAATAATTGGCCTTTACGCTGCACCTTTAAAAATATACGGTATGAATTTTTAACATAGCACCAAGATCAAGTGAAATAAAAAATGTTATTTTCAAAAAAAAATCAATCACTCTGCCATAGAAAAATTTAGATTTGAGTATTCAAAACATAAGACAACGAGAAGAGTTGAAAAAAGATATGGATTAATTTTACAAAAAAAGTTATAATCAAAATAAAAATTTCATTAATTAATATTTAATATAAAAAGTAAAATGATTAATATGACCGTCAAATTTGAAATTAGGTTCTATTTTTTAATTGCACCACACTTTTTTATATTTTTATTTGTAAAATTAAAAATAAAGCAACTTCAACTGTTTCGCCTTGTTTAATTTTTTGAAAACTCTGTATATCGAAATTTAATTTCTTATGGCAATTAAATATTAACAATGTATATGAAGAATAACTTATCAAAAAAAATTCAAAGTAAAAAGTTTTTTCTAAACATATTATGTCGATATGAATTAAAAAGTATTATTTAGAAAAAGATACATTTGAAATAAGAAAAACTTGGTTATATGTAAAACTGAACTTATCGACTAATTCCTCAAATTAGAAGCTATAAGTAGTATAGACAGAGCCGAAATGATTAAACTAATTTTGGTCTAGTCTAAACGGTAATATCATCTGAGACATAGTAACTGTATTTTTTAAACAAAGTTTATATTTCATTATCATATAAAAGGTGTTCCAAATGTAACGCAAAGTTTGAATTGAGCGCCATTTTCATTCCGAAAAGTTGGCAGTATTGTTTGCAGGGTCAAATGTTGTAGTCAACACATTGCGGTTAGACAAAATGGAGCGCCTATACGACGGATGAGCGAGTGTAGATTGTGAAAATTCATTACAAATACGGAGAATGTGTAGCTGAGACTGTGTGCAAATTACATGGAATTTTCGGTAGAAGGAACGCCCTGAACGAAACAATTGTGAATTAGGAACAAACAAGTTGGATTGGAGACAATAAAAAAAATAGGCCGGTCTCGTACTGGCCATTCAGCTGCTATACCTACGGCGAGTGATAGTGTGACGGAAATTCCTGTAACCTCAGTGCGTCGTCGGTTACTGCAATTAAACTTTCTGCAATTAATTTCAGAAAACACAATGCAGCGGATTTTCACAAGAGATCTGCATCTGCATCTACTCAAGATTCAGCTAACACAGGAACCATTTAATGCGACGGACATTCGTTGATTGGACGTTGGAGAATCAATAAGTGGACAGTCACCTTTGCAAAGACAATCATCTTTAGCGACGAAGCGCATTTCCATCTTAGTGGAAATGTGAACAAGCAAATCTGACCAATTTGGGGCAGAGACGATCCTCGAGACATTCAAGAACACCACTGTATACCCAAAGAGTGACAGTGTGTTGTAGAATTTATGCTTGTGAGGTAATTGGTCTGTTTTTTTTTTTAATAAGGCTGCAAACGCAGTGACTCAATGGAGAACGACATCATGAGATGTTACTGAACTTTTTGTGACCTCATTTGGATGGCTTGTGGTTCCACCATGCTGATGGTGTCCTAGACACATGAAACTATCCACTTGTTACGGCAAAAATTTAATGGATGAGTTATCTCACGTAACAGTGAAGTGACTTGGCCACCAAGATCATGGGATCTTACACCATGCGACTTTTTCCAGTGAAAACCGTAAAGTTCATTCTGCTCAAATGAACACCATTCCTGAATTAAAACAGAAATTCAGCCGCAGGTATGCGTAAAGCGTGATACAGAATTTTCTTGAAAGAAGTCGCGGAGGACATTTGTCCTTATTCATATTTAATGGCAATGTCTACCCTTTAAAAATATGTAAAAACTTTGCCAACTTTTTAATTAATAAAGTCTTTTTTCCCATATTAATGATAATTGCTACGAATCCACAATTTCATTGTATTTCCTTAAGATTTCTCATTACATAAGGTCACCGATGATAATTGAAATTTGTGTTACTCTGTAAATTACTATGAACAATGTGACCATCTATTGCTATATAAAATTTTAAAAAAAGAAGTTTATAAATGCGTTTTGTCCTTTAGTTATATTAATGTTAAAAGTAGTGGCAGCTACATACAGGGATGGCCAGAAGTACAGAATAAAAATCTTTTGAATGAGTTAATTTTTTTTAAAACGCCGAAACACGTTAACTGATTTTGATTTTTTCCCATCTTTCGGTTATATAATAATTAATTTTTCTTCAACCCCCTAACCCCCAGCTACCCCTATTTTTTTTTCAAATGGAAACATAAGGCATGAGGGGGCTCGTTGAAAAGCTTATAGAAAACCGAATCCAGCCATACCAAATAAACAAGTTTTATTTTTTCAATAACAAGTTTTTTTTCATTTAGAAATTGAAACAACTAGATAATTTACAAAAATAAACTCAATGTCGCAAATGCTGAAAATGTCCTCCATTCACTATTTGGCATTCTCCAAGACGATAGTAAAAGCTGTCCACAGCATTCTGAATGACTTCAGCTGGTAAATTATGCATCTCCGCCCTAATCTTGTTCTTTAAATTCTCAATATTATCCGGTCTGTCCTGGTAGACTCTTTCTTTCAAATATCCCCAAAGAAAATAATCCAGGGGTGTTAAGTCGGGGGATCTTGGCGGCCATTCAACTGTACCCCGTCTACCAATCCAGCGATTTGGAAACATTTCATCTAAGTAATTATCTTCGAACATCAATACCAAAATGTGGGGGAGCGCCATCTTGTTGGAACCCAAATTCTTTCATTCGGTATATTTGGATCAATTTCATGAGGGAAAATTATAGCTAGAGCAGGTATCAGATCAAATGTTAGGAAATCCAGGTAGCGCGCAGCAGTAAGATTTTTTTCAAAAAAGAATGGGCCCAAGATTTTGTTGTTGATGATACCTGCCCATAAATCAACTTTTTGTGGATGCTGCGTATGCGATTCGCATGTCCAGTGCGGATTTTCCTGGGACCAAAAGCGATAGTTATGCCTGTTAACTGCTCCATTTAAATAAAATGTAGCTTCATCCGAAAAAAGTACGTCTCCTTGAAAACCATTATTGTCGTCAAACCGTCTCACCATTTCCTCACAAAATTGTAATCGCCTATCATAATCGTCTTCCAAAAGCTCTTGGACAAGACATACCTTATAGGGGTGGTATTTCTCTTGTTTCAGAAACATTCGAATTGCAGTTCGAGAAGCATCGTGATTGCGGGCCAATGAAACAGTTGAAGTATGAGGATTTTCAACAAGTTCTAATGCAATGTCTAATTTCTTTTCTTCATTCAAAGCACGTGCCCGTCCAGTTTTGGGCAAAGTCTGTACTGTACCGTGTTCCTCAAATTTGTGAAATATTTTACTAACTGTCCCTTGCGAGATTTGGTTTTCGGGATATTTCGCATTAAATAAATCGCGCACTTCAGCCTGACTTCTTATTTTGTCTCCACATCCAAGCAATATCAAGATTTCGATGCGTTGCCTTTCCGACAATACCATTGCAATTCAGTAAATAACTTGATTTTGACACAATAGTAACGTTTCGAACTCCAATTTACAACTAAAGCGAAAAATTAACCAGAAAGCCTGGCAAGTAAGTGGTGCCAAAAAAACGCAACATAAAAAATATATCTTTTTTGCGTTAGCAGTGATAGGTACAGTTTCAAATTCTTTATTTTATTCTGTGCAAATTCATGGAGGATAACACTGAAGATAATTAAATTTTATTTCACTTGTTAAGTAGGTGTTTTATACAACCCTAAAAACCTTGCTATTGAAAAAATAAAACTTGTTTATTTGGTATGGCTGGATTCGGTTTTCTATAAGCTTTTCAACGAGCCCCCTCATGCCTTATGTTTCCATTTGAAAAAAAAGTAGGGGTAGCTGGGGGTTAGGGGGTTGAAGAAAAATTAATTATTATATAACCAAAAGATGGAAAAAAATCAAAATCAGTTAACGTGTTACGGCGTTTTAAAAAAAATTTACTCATTCAAAAGATATGAATTTTATTCCGTACTTCTGGCCATCCCTGTATACTTATACATGCACGTACAATACGATAAATGATTTAACTGTCGTTACTATTGGTATATAAATCTAACATGACACAAATAAATGTGTAAATAAAGGATTTAGCACATGCCAGATAAACAGTTTGATTTTTATAGATAAATCGTTACGTGTGTAGCTTCCATTATACTATGGAAAACTTTTTGGTTCATTAATTCCTTCTTTCTCGATCCTCGAAGGTTAAGTTTTTTATCTGTTACCGCGTCTCTAACGTAATACAAGTCATAGGAAGATTGATTAATGCTAGTTTACTTCTTCGAGTCGCATTTCGTTATACTATTTTTGTTTTGTTTGTATCCTTAATGAATGATTCCTTTTTTTTTTAGGATTAGAGGCAACTGCGACATTTACTATTTACAAGAACTGCAATATATCGATCACTAAAGTTCCCAGCAACAAGTAAATTTACTTGCCATCTAGCATTAGTTTCTGTTAAAAAAATATACAAATGCTTAGCAAGCATGCTTACGCTAGAGGAAAAGTGACATAAGGAGTTTATCTGAGCAAGCCAAAATGCCATAAAAATTCTATAAAAGCTCAAAAACGTTAGGTGCTACTACGAAGAATATAAGGTTAAACAAATTGAATAAAATTACAAATCAAAACTGGGCATTCCTTAACAAACCGCACTTACTCCAACGATTTGTGATGCATTTTGGAAAAAGAGGCACTTGGTTCAAAATGGGACCATGGTTCTCGTTAAAGCTTAGATCGAATATGCTGAACTCGTCGTCTGTAATAAATCACAGTGTAGTTAAATAACAATAAGGGCACTATGAAGATGATATGATCAGTTATGTACAACGAATGAGATGGGTACGTTGTTCAAACCTATTAATTACACTATACGCTACATATTATGTACTTCTTACAAGGATAATTAATTTTAAAACATTACTGAAATGTTCTAAAACTCATTTTGATTCTGTATAATCAAGTCTCGACGTTATACGTAAGGCAAATTCTTCTGCATAAATCTTCAAAATACTATCCCGATCATTGTACCAAATTCGGAATATATGTTTATATTAAGAGACCACTGTATTTATATTCTGTTAGTCGACACCGCCTTGATTATTTCAATTGCAAATTTATAGTCTAATGTTGTCAAAATAGTAATTACATATTGTAAACAAATGAAATACCAAGTAGTGAAGTGAGTCAAATACTGGGTAACTTTTGCAATTTACACAATCTAATTATTCGTTGAAATATTTTGAGATATTTTAAGAAATATTTAGGAGTATAATAGGAAATAAAGACAGCAAAATTATTCTATTAGATGTTACCCAGAATTTCGTCGTCACTTCCTCTTTCGTCAAAAATTTCTAGGTAAATACCATAAGACAAACATTGTTAAACTCAATTTAAAAAATGCAAAGGATGTTTGTTGGGAGTTTTGAAAATATACATTGTCTTTTGGCAGTACGTAAATCGCACAGTTAATATGAAAATGTTTTTTCAAGATAAATATTTTCATTTTCGCGTCTATAAATCATTTGCTGCCAAGGTCGCTTATTTTAAAATTTACTACGCGACAGCTCGCTATTTATAGAATAAAGAAACTTCCACGTTCAAGAAAACGGAAAAATAAAGTTTCAAATTTGAATCATATTTTTTTTTTAAATATAAGTAATATTTAATATCAATAAAAATTTGATTTTACAGTCAACAGTAATAATCACCAGGTATAAAGTTCTCCAAATACTTAATAGCACAACACTTTTACTGTTTCTGTTGTATAAACAAAATATGTATATTTCGAATTGCTTTTGAAACATGAATCTTATAGCAGTAATACACGAATGAATAATCGGTTGCTTACTATTAATCCAACCTTAAATCGAAAATATCGATCAACCAATCTAGAATCTATATCCAGAATGGAATGCTACTACGGTTTTGAACGTACTTTTAATACAGCATCCACTCGTGCGAATTCCTGGATTTATTTTTTTTCCACAAGTATCTACTTTCTACTTTTCCAAGCGATTAAACGTTATCCAAATGTCACGAATACGAATACCAAACACAGCACACATCACCATTGTGTTATTTCAGCGCTAACCCAAATATCTTGGAAGATAAAGATTATCTTGACATACAAATAAACTGGGATGATACGAATTCGCCTACGGAGTTATCAATCATCCAGAAAAAACATGGAAATTCATCAGAATTATACATAATCCATCTGAGGAATAAACGATGAATGATCTGACTTGAAGTCGTATTTCATCCGGAGATACCTAGATTCGGTGCCGTCTGCTTCATACAATAAAGAAATATGAATAATAATGATTCTCGTATATATTTAAATTGAAATTTAACGCCTTAGATACTTTAAGGCTGGCCTTTTATAGACAAGAAATTGCACTCTCGGTAATACAATGATAGAACAAACAACAAAATCCATTTAATTTTTCGCAGTGAAGGATCACGGAAAATATGAGAACCTATCGTAATGTACCTTTCCTGTTTTGTCCAGAATTTCGTAAAAAATACTCAATAATTGCTATTAATTCATATTTTTAATAGTTTCATAAAACATTTTGAGGGTTGTGTTTATGAGTACCGTACGCGATTTTATGTCTGTATATACAACTTGCGCGTAACGTTCGGGAAATGTTATGATAAACATAAGATATAAAAATATACCGCTTTTCCTTATTCTGAATGTATTATCAGCAGTGTTATATCCCGGAGAAAACTTGCATAACTGTAACAGTGTTGTTTCTTGTTTCTAACTAGAAATTGAAAATCCAGTTGAAATACAAGAATTTTCCGAAGATTCTGATGTCGATGAGGTTCCGGTACCAACAGAGGCTATACCAAATTATAGTAAAGCTATTATCCTAACCAATCAGCTTAAACATTTTGCCGAAGATCACAGAGTTTTTGGAGCTTCTTTCCAAATTAGAAATACGATTTTTGGAGGCCATTTTAAAGAAAAAGAGGAGACAAACAATAATATATGAATTTTTGCGTCATTAAAGTAACATTTCATTTCATTTTATGTATTACTATATTCTATTATACAGGGTGGGCCACCAGTAACGCCTTGGTCGCTAGTGACCAAACGGCAAATGTTACAGAAACCTGTTTAGGTGGGTATGTGTAGGTTGATTACGGCTACATTTTAAAAATATTTTGAAATATACAGGGTGTCCAGGAAAAGCGTACCATATCAAAGTTATGTTTTTTTAAATGGAACACCCTGTATTTTACTGCATTTTTGAAAGCACCGTAAAAAAATAGGTGAACTTTATTAAAGGTTCTGCATACCTAGGACTTATAGTTTGTGAGATATTTCAATTTTAGTGAAAATGCAGGCATAGCGTAGAAATTTAATATTAGCAATAAAAAAATAATTTTAAGGAAGCAGCTTTGGAGGGTCTATTTTAGATCCTTGAAGTTATAAATTGTTATATTTGTCGTCACTTAGTATTATACAGGGTGTTCAAAAAACTGCTGAATACTTCTCTCAACTTTAAACAGCAATAACTTGGTTATTTTAAATGGAACACCCAGTATATTTTTACTTTGGGAGTTGGGAAATTTAAAACTCTTTCAAACTGTGTATAGGTTCCCTATACCTATCTCTAACGGTATTGGAGATATTTGTGCCGTTTCGTTTTTTATCGATTTTTTTTGTAAGATGTATCCACGTGTCTTTATCGAGGTCTTTACTGAATTGGTTTGGGTTCTTCTTGATGACGTCTCTTTAAATATATTGAGAAAAATGAGGATGCAATTAGATGGCGCACCTGCAAATTTTTCATATTCAGTGAGAAATTATTTAAATCGAAAATTTAGTAATAAATGGATAAGTAGGAATGGTGCATGTCAGTGGCCACGTAGGTGTCCAGACCTCACCGTAATGGACTTCTTTGTTGCGAGCTATATAAAAAATCTTGTATACAATGTTCCACCTATTACTTGCGATGATATTGGAGGGAAGGATTAGAGATGCATTTGCGTGAGAATATCATTTGAAGATAGAATAAGATGCTGTATTCAGGAGAATGGTTATCAATTCGAACATCAATTAAAATTTTTCTTTGTTTTTTCTAAAAGTAAAAGTTCCTTTTATCATTATCATGAAAATATTCAAAAAAGTTTTCTAATAAAAAATATTATTTTATAAGCAGAATAATTATAAAAAGTTATTAATTTTGTATAAATATGTTTGTAGTAAGTAACTGAATTATTTATGAACATGAAAAATATTTATTAAAGAAAATTTTACTTTTAGAAGAAACAAAGAAAAATTTTAATAGATGTTCGAATTGATAACCATTCTCTTGAATACAGCATCTTATTCTATCTTCAAATGATATTCTCACATTCCTTAGAATATTTGGGGTGATTGTGGCAAATGCATATCTAATCCTTTCCTTCATATCATCGCAAGTAGTAGGTGGAACACTGTGTACAAGATATATTTTTATACAGCCCGAAACAAAGAAGTCCATTACGAGAGGTTTGGACACCTGTGGTAGCCACTGACATGGACCATTCTTACCTACTCATTTATTACTTAATTATCGATTTATATAATTTCTCACTGAATATGAAAAATGTGCAGGTGCGCCATCTATTTGCATTCACATTTTTCTCCTTATATTTAAAGAGACGTCATCAAGAAGAACCCAAACCAATTCAGTAAAGACCTCGATAGAGACACGTGGATACATCTTACAAAAAAAATCGATAAAAAACGAAACGGCACAAATATCTCCAATACCGTTAGAGATAGGTATAGGGAACCTATACACAGTTTGAAAGAGTTTTAAATTTCCCAACTCCCAAAGTAAAAATATACTGGGTGTTCCATTTAAAATAACCAAGTTATTGCTGTTTAAAGTTGAGAGAAGTATTCAGCAGTTTTTTGAACACCCTGTATAATACTAAGTGACGACAAATATAACAATTTATAACTTCAAGGATCTAAAATAGACCCTCCAAAGCTGCTTCCTTAAAATTATTTTTTTATTGCTAATATTAAATTTCTACGCTATGCCTGCATTTTCACTAAAATTGAAATATCTCACAAACTGTAAGTCCTAGGTATGCAGAACCTTTAATAAAGTTCACCTATTTTTTTACGGTGCTTTCAAAAATGCAGTAAAATACAGGGTGTTCCACTTAAAAAAACATAACTTTGATATGGTACGCTTTTCCTGGACACCCTGTATATTTCAAAATATTTTTAAAATGTAGCCGTAATCAACCTACACATACCCACCTAAACAGGTTTCTATAACATTTGCCGTTTGGTCACTAGCGACCGAGGCGTTACTGGTGGCCCACCCTGTATTTTGTAAGGTAACAAATCCTGATTTTTTCCTTAAGTTTTAAGTTTTTTATTTATTTTAGAACATGCATATGCATATACGTTTTAAATGTCTCAATTTCTTTAATTACAGTTTTCATTAAAAAAAAAACGATTTTTTTTTCTTATTTCTTTTAGGCGGACACCCCTCTTGAAGCGACACTTTCAAGTCGGTCCCGTTGGTGTCCGCCCAAGGGAGATTTCACTGTATTTACTTTTTTAACTTATCGTTGAGACAGAAATGCTCAAATAACAAAAAATGTGGTCGAAAAGTAAGAATTGCACAATTTTTTCGAAAATATTTAAAAAAGGCTTGATTTTACCGTTTCTTTTCGTTTTTCGCATATATCTGTTTTTTTTACAGGCCAGTATATTGCGCAATTAACAAGTTCGTTCAT